GAAACATGCCTGAGGAGAAGCCACAAGGACCTATCCCGATGCAGCCCTGGGTGCTGCCCTGAGCAGCCACGTGGAGAGCCCTACCAGCACAGAGATGCTTACACGCTCACTGATTTGACTTTCCTCCTTTAGTTGGCATCATTGCATGTGTTTTGTGAGATTGAGGAGGACTTTGTAGATAAGTGTCAGACATATGGGCTAATGTTGGACTGATGGGCTTGGACAGCACTGGGTTGGGATGCTTTCTTAATGTACACTTACCCTTTATATAAAACTCTCTTATATGCATATGAATTTCTGTGGATTTGTTTCTCTAGTCTACACAGACTAACACACTGTCCCTGTGGGTTTCTGGGACTGTAACTCTTTACAAGAGTAGAAAACTCCATCTTACTCCTGAGAGGTAGCTGGTGGTTTCGAACTGCTGACCTTGCAGTCAGTTCAACATATAACCACTACCCAACCCCACCAGGGCTCCTATATTACTTTATAGTGCCAGTAAAATGTAGAAGAAAGTAATAGGAAGAAAATCAAAATCATCAATTCTTTGTGGAAGTTGAGCACTAGTCCAAGTTAAAACAAACTTGAGCAACTAAAACATGAAAAAACAAGTTCAGTCAGGGTGAATGTTGGTTTTTTGCTTTTGATCCATAACCAATGCAAAAGTGAGGCTGTAGTAAGACAAAAGCAAAGGACTTGACTTTATCAACTTCTCCATCAAAGAGGCAAAACTGTCCCTTCAATGTGCACTTGATACATGTGGGTTGGCCTTAAGGAAGAAAGAGAAGCTCACTCGCCCATCCAGGATATAGAGAGGCAAAAAGTAGCTAGAAAGCCTGTTCCCTGGCAATGTCATCCTAATGCAGTGCCAACCAGCAGTGAGCAACCACTTGTATGAGTGCTGCCACAGGCCAAGGCACAGACCTCTGTAACCTTCACCTACCCAGCTAGTTCAGAGGAGACGTAAACTAGTCTTGCAACAAGGTGGGAGAGGTCAATGCTTCAAAAAAATGCCAAGTGCTTTGGGCTAACCTAGGCCATGCCCAACCCTTTGCAACCTGACACCAACCGGAAATTCTCTCCTGATGCCACTCAGAGAGTGAGGAGTCCCACTGCCATACAGAAATGGACACCTCAGGCAGCCCCTGTTATCACCTCCACCACTTCGGTTTGCGGTACATAAATCACCGGTTTACGGTACATAAATCACGTCCCATATCCTATGATTCCATGGCGCCAAACTTGGAGTTTGCATGCAGGGGCAAGAGACCCCCAATAGCCTTCATTCTGGGCATCACTTTCCCTGCTGGACGCACAGGAGCAGAAGATGCTGGGGGATATTTATTCTGGCTCATCCAAAGCCCATGTTACAATTTGGAACACCACTGCAGTGTCTATTCTACAGTGTGATGAGGCAGCCTCCCAAACAGCTCTGCTCTAACATGGAGGACGATGCAGTGCTGCAACAGGGTTACCATCTACTCTCCCACAGGCTTACCATCTCCTCTCCAACATAAGCTACTCCTCTGATATAAATAAGTGTTTTACAATCTACACTGTCCACAAAAGTAGCTACTAACCAAATGGCAGTTGAAATGTGACTAATGATACAAAAGGATAGAATTTTTACATTGTATTTAAATGTAACTGATTTGAGTGTAAATAGAAACAGGTATCTGTTGTTATTGTTAGGTGCTCTGGTCATTTCCAACTGACAGAGAACCTTTGTATAACAGAACAAAACACCGCCAGGTCCTAGCCACCGCCACCATTGTTCTTGTGTCAATCCATCTTGTTAAGGGCCTTCCAGGTTTTCGATGCCTTCCTTCTTTAATAAGCCGGATGTCCCTCTCCAGAGACTGGTCTCCCCTGACAACAAGTCTTGCCATCCTTTTCTCCAGTGAGCACTCGGGTTGCTCTCCTTCCACGACAGATATGCTTGTTCTTTCGTCAGCCCACCAACCACATCCACAATCTCACTGTCCTTCAGTCAGTTCCTAGAAGGCAGAATCGGACTGGTTCCCGCCGCTCCGGCCTAGGAGTCGAACAAAGGCCGATGGACAGCCCTATGGACCGCTGGCGAGGATGCAGCAGGCGTCGCGGATGGCGGGCCAGACGTTGATGGCCAGCGTGGGCACAGTGGGGCTGATGACACTGGCGACCAGGGTGGCCCTGAGGGCCCCAGAGGCCGT